ACCTCACAAGTTTTCTTCAGTACCTCAGTAATCTAGTGGTATTATTACATGTACAGGTAAACTGATCAGAGATCAGCCAGCAGACTGTTGATGGTGACACTTTGACTTCATGTTGACGTCATGTAAACTGATACAAAGTGATATAAATACCGGGTGTTTTACCGGGTCTGTCTGTCTCTGTTTGTGTCGTCACGTCGGTTCACAAACAGTCCTGTAGCTTGTTAGCATGTTAGCTACTTTAAGGTTAGCAACAAGATTTTCACAATAAAAGTCTCACTGAGTTGATTAAAATGCAGCAGAAGGAAAAATAACTCAGAGATCAACTTTAAAGTACGAAGAAGTAGAAAGTTCTCAGAAACACAGAAAGTTTGTACAGTTATATAATTAAATACAATATAGTGAAATAAAGTAAATCAAATATAAGTAATGTAAGTACATTAAAGTAAAAATGAAGTTAAATAAAGGTAAAGTAAATCAAATTAAAGTGAAATAAAGTTGAAAAAAGTAAAGTACATAAATCGAATAAAGTGTAATAAAGTAAAGTTGAAATTAATTCAAATAAAATGAAGTAAAATGAAGTGAAATGAACTATTCTTATTATCATAATGTATATTACACTGTGTGGTGACTGTGGCTAAGTGGAGAGCAGGGCCGTCCTTCAATCACAGCATCGGCGGTTCGATCTCCGGCTCTGCTAGTTGCATGTCGATGTGTCCTTGAGCAAGACACTTAACCCCAAAACTGCTCCCGTAGCTGAGCCTACGTGTGTGAATGTGATAGAATCTGAATTGTAAGTCGCTTTGGATAAAAGCGTCTGCTCAATAACTGTAATGTAATGTAAGTATCATAGGGAATCATTCTCTCTCCTCTTAGAGTTCTCTCGCCCTTCCTGATCGGACGACTTCCTGATTGGTTGATTGATCCTCTTTAGCCCCGCCCCCCTCCCGTGACGCATCGCCATGTCATCAAACATCAACGTCTCCCCTGACAACCCCTACGGTCAAGTGACCATCCCCCGGGCTAAGCTCCGCCTCTCTGATGACCTCAGCACGGTGATAGCCAATCCGGGGGCTCTGAGCAGCACCGACCCGTACAGCTCCTCCCCCCCGCCCTACGTGGTGAAGGATGCAGGCGAGGAGGAGGAGGAGGAGGAGGGGGGGAAGTGCCCCGTCTGCTGCTACCGCTGCAGGAGGAGGAAGTGATGTCACAGCAGCAGTGGGAGGAGGAAGTGATGTCACAGCAGCAGGAGGAGGATTGTGATTGGCTTCATTCACAAAAGAAGAAACGGTGCTTTTCATTATCCTAACGTGTCTCCTCGTTTCCTACCTCCTCCCGGCAAGGATGTGAGGGAAGAGGAAGGAAGGGAGGCGAGTACGAAGGAGACAAAGCTGCAGATCAGAAATCCTTGTTTCCTTTAGACTTGTTTCAAACCGTGTGCCACATGTGGAGCATTTATACCTGACTTCAGTGAAGGATACACCTGTGCTTCCTCGCCCTGAGCTCCTCCAGGAGCCTCCTCCTCTCCTCGTGTCCTCGTCTCCTCGTGGTGCATTTAATTGGTTGGCAGATCCTCGATGACGAGGAATCAAAAATTAGCATAATGAAAAGCACCCGAAGAGAAATAAAGGAAGGTGTTTCCTTCAAATTTAAAAAAAACTACAAAATGTCTAAACTTCCTGTTTGACTTAGAAAATAAAGTTTAAAGAGCTTCATTAACATTCAAACAAACATGCAGGCGCTCAGAAGAAGCCCATGAAACAGCTGAAAGACGGGTTTACATTGAATACTCAGTTATAATATTAATAATAATGATGAATGTGGCATCACTAAACTTCATATTTTTTTCAAGATAAATCAAAATGAGAACAATTTAAAAAAAGATGGAATAACCTTTTTATTGTTCTTAATGTCATCATCATCATCATCATCATTATTATTATTATTATTATTATTATTATTATTATTCATTAGATGAACATAAACATTATTTATGAATATTCATGAATTAGAAGCCGGGTGTGTTTCTCCGCTGTTGCTATGACGTTAAGAGTAAATATAAATTATTGATTTGTTGTAAAATGAATTGGATGAATAATCAACAGATTGTAAGATGAAGTGTTTCTGTATATAAGGTTTATGAATCATAACGTTTAGTGTCATAATAAATATGAATCTAATGATCAAACAAACGTATTCTTACGGACAACTTGTGATGTTTTTGTATTTTATATTTTATTCATGATTTAGATTTTCAGACAGTATTTATATTTTTTCACAACGATGATTTTGAACGTTTTAGTATGAAGGAGTGTTTAAAGTATAAATGAAGAATCAAATCATAAATATTAAATGTTGATTTACTGTACAACGTGTCCATGAAATAAAGACGATGAATGTTCAGTGTTTCACGTATTATTTATGTGTTATCTGAATATTTATATTTAAATGAGAATAAACAAAATGACAAACATTTAAATGACTGTTATTGTAAAAGCATGCCGGTAGTCCTGGGTGTTCCTCTGATTGATGACGGTGATCATGGTTCATCCTGTTACCATCCGAGGAAACACTCATTTGCATAAAATGAATTCAGCTGACAGAAAAACACCGTCGACACTTAAAACATGACTCAGCAGATTTTAAGGTCCGACACAATGAAAAAAACCTGGAAATGATTTCAGGTTTCTGGCCAAATCAAAGTGAAAACCATTTTATTAATATTAATAATAAAAACAAACGTTATTGTATCTCACAAGAAACGTAATTACCCCCCCCCCCCCATTTAAACTTTATTAATTCTCTTAATGAACTTTATTAATTTTCTGTTGAAGTAGTTTATCTCTCTGTCGCTAGGCGACTTCAGTCCTCACACTGAGCTGTAACCTGATAGGCTGACACCAGCGGCCAATAGAAACCTGAGCGCAGCTCCACTTTCTATTGGCTGATCAGGTTACAGGTCAGATTATTGATCATTTAAACTCTCAATGATATTTTAATGTGATTGTGTTGAATATAATACAGTGTATTAAATGTTTGATAATAATATTGATAAGTTATGGATTTATATTTCATGTTTTATTTATTCATGTTTATATGTTGGTGTTAAAACCGATTGTATTGGTTATAGTTTAGATTATTTTATCTATTTTACAGGAAATATTTCATATTTGTTGTATTGTTTGTTTTTGTGGATCTAAATGTGTGTTTAGTAAATTGTTATAAGTGTTGTTTTTGTTTCTTTTAAATGGATATTTAGTATTTTAAAGATAAGAATGACACATTATTAATGACACATTATATGTTTTATGTAATAACACAAATAAAAGTTATCTTTACTCACAATATATAAATAATAAGTGACATTCAGTGTCGACCGAGCGAGGCTGAATTATTGATGATCTCTCTCTCTCTCTGTCTCTCTGTCTCTCTCTGTCTCTCTTTGTCTCTCTCTCTCTCTCTCTCTCTCTCTCTCTCTCTCTCTCTCTGAGGCAGAAAGGACGACCACAAACAAACAGAGAAGAAGAAAAGAAGAGAGAAGAAGAAGAAAGATGAAAGAAAAGAAGAGAATATAAGAGGAAAGGAAGAGGTGAGAAGAAACAAAGAAGAAGAAAAAAGAAAAACTGTCAACGACAAAAGAGAATAAAAAAACAGGAGGAAATGAAAGAGTGACGGCCGAAAAGAAAATAAACAAAATAAAGGAAAGAAGAGGAAACAGGAATAAAAGACGGAGAGAAGAAGAAATGAAACAACAACAGACGACAGGAGAAAAAGAGTAAACAACAATAATGTGAAGGAAAAGGAAGAAATAACAAGTAAGTTCCTGTTTACCTTTAAATATATATTGTCCAATCACAGCGCAGCAGGTGTCACCACCTAATATCTGTCTGTAGTCTAATCATCTGATTGGACAGATTGAAGTTACCAAAAAGTAATCACATTACTTTAATAGCTCAGCTATGAAAGTTACTTCATTAATTATATTTCCATTAAACATTTTAAATCTTTTATTTTGTTTCTCTAAATCTCTAAGAATTAATATTTAATGAAAATAAGATACAAATAAATAATTATTAAATTAAAATAAATAAAATATAAATTAAAATGAATGAATAGATAAATACACAAACGGGTTAAAGCAACTGTATTTAATGTCAAATCCACGATGTTGAAGGTGTAGCTAACGTCTATTTGACATTAGCTAAGTTGAGTTGGTAAGTAGCTAGCTAACAAGCTAGCGTTGTTATATAATCAACAATCTTGTTTTCAATCAGTTGTCAGGTGATTTTAATCACTTCAAAATAAAATACGTGAATAGAAACACGGCTAACACCTCGTCTTTGTCAGAGGAGACATGATTAGCTTGCATTAGTCCGACATCAGTAAACTAAATGATGATCAGAAATAAGACAGCAGGCTAACGCTAGCTAACGTTAGCATTCTTTGTGATCGATTGTAGGATGGATGCTCTTAACCTCAAACTTTGACTGAAACCAAAACAATGATTTTATACAATAGACCAACTAATTCCAGCTGACAAATATCACCTAGCAAACAAACACAAAGCTTACCTTAGCGTTAGCCAACGTTAGCTAATGCTAATGCTACAATACAAGCAAAACAATAAAGTAAAATGTTAACGTACTTTAATCAGATGATATTTTATAATATCTAAACTAATACTGTCCCATGTCTCCTGGGGGAAATACATTAACATTTAACTTTCATTATTTTGTTTGTATCGTAGCGACAGCTAATGCTAACACAAGCATCATAAGTTACCAAGGTAATCTAGGCAGTTAAAATAGAGCTACTCAACGTATAAATTATATTGTATTGTATTAAATTATATTATGTTATGTTCTGTTATATTATATTAAATTATATTGTATCAAACTACATTTTATTAAAATATATTATATTATCTTAAAAATAATATCTAAAATAAATATTCTTCTGTTGAATAATGAAATTAAACTTTTCTTCTCGTCTATTAGAACAAAATGTCTGACGACAGAAAAGAAGAAGAGGAGGAAGAGGAGGAAGAGGAAGTGACCTGTCAGCCCCTCCCCCGCCCGCCTCCTCCTTGCTGCGTTGCCATGGAGACAATGTTGTCACTGAGGAGGCAGGACCTCGTGTGCATCGTGTGCTTCGGCAGCTACGACCTGGCCACGCGGTTGCCACGGCGACTGCACTGTGGCCACGCCTTTTGTCAGGCGTGTCTGAAGAGGCTCGACACTGTCATCAACGAACAGGTGACATCATCAGTGACATCATCCACACTCACCTGAGATCTGTAGACAGTCCAGGTGTCAGCTGACGTTGAATCAGTGGTGGGCCGTCAGGGCCTTCAAGGCCTTCTCTGCTGGCCTAAACACAATCACAAAGTTATAGATGTTTTATCATTTAATAATTTTTCACAAATACACTACATGTATTGTAATTATTTTTCCCATTATCTTATGTTCTCATTGCACAGCTCCTGTCTTCCTCAGTTGCTCTGCTTCCAGCACAGCTTGCTTTAAGTAGAGCTTTTATCCAATCAGATTCAACCCCTATGTCTCTATGTAAGGAGAGAGGCCCGATATCCTCTAGAGCAGGGGTTCTTAACCTTTTTGACCTCGGGGCCCAACTTTTCAAGTACAAAGTGTCCCGGGGCCCATTCAAATATTAACACTATTAGTTTAACTAATTTATCTCACTCTTGGTTTTATTTGTATTCAATAACTATATTCTTACCTGTTCAACTCCACCCCTATTTTGGAGCAAAACCGCCTAAAATGACATACCCAAATTAAAATGGCTGTAGCTTCTGAACCACTGACTATATGCATCAAAAGTGTCAGAAAACCTGTAGGTCATACAGAAACAGAGCAGTGGGCCTTTGGAGTCAGTAAAAATTGAAGATTTTTGTCCGCATAAAATAAAAAAGTATCTTTCAGTATAAATAACTGCCTGTGGCTGTATCTGTACAGGTAAATGACAGTATAGGGCTGTAACTACACTATCAGTGAACAACTGCCTCAAATTTGAAGAAGATTGGACAAAGTACGACCATTCTACAGTGTTTCTTCCATGAAGAGATCCAGGCGGAGCTCTCAAAGGATATTTGGAGACCCAAATGGACACATGGTAACCAAATGATATTCTGACACACTAACGGTGTTTCTCCCTTTATATTTTGATATTATAGTATTTTCCTTTTATTTTTAGCCTTTGCAAAATCTACGTATATATGGTCGAAGACGTGGTGTGTGAGTAGCGGACTTGCTGTGCATAATGGCTGCGACAGAGCGCATGATCGAGTATGCGGGTAGCTCAGTTACGCAAAGGTTATACGTTGGTTGACGGCTTATAGAAGAGGAAGATAAGGTTTGTACTATAAGTACCAGCGTTTTCTGAAGCCACTAGCTCCATGGTAACATCCGCTAGCACATTGTTGGGTCTGTAATGTCTTTTTCCGTCGAAATGCTGCAAGATCCGACTTGCAGCGGTTATGGCGAATTTGGACAGTGTGTGTTTGGACTCCTTTTGTGAAAAAGCCATAAGAAATGAAAGAAAATCGATGATTTCTTTGCAAAGATGAGGATTTTGGGCATGCTGGGATACCAAACACGGCCATGTTTTGTGACGTAGTTTGCGCAAGCAAGCCGTAGGAACGGAAGGGGAGGGGATCGAGGACGCCGGCGTCCTCGCGGAGTTGAACAGGCAAAACCCTTGTCAAATAAATGAGATGATACAATGTGATGATCACAAAGACATTTATTTATCATGTGTATGTAAACCTGCATACACAACAAGAAGCCCAACAGGCTTTCCCACGAGCGTTGGATGTTTCGTCGCTAGGTGTGGCTTTATTTTTGAAGGCTTCAGTGCTTCATTTGATAGCATTAGCCCACATTCCACACACTGAGCCCTCGGCTCTGCCTCGTTGCCTCCGTTCACAAAGCCGTACTTAAGAAAGTCAGGATTGTACTTGCGCACACATTTAGACTTTTGGGGGGGTATGGCACCACTGTCGTCTTCATTTTTTCTTTTTAAAAACGTATTCATAACTTTCACTACAGGCTAGCGGCTAGCTGAGTGTCGTCTTCTGCTTATTGGAGCTTGTTAAACAACTGACCCAATCGTGGGCCGCGAGCCTTTGCAGTTTAAGTGAATGGGGACGATATTGTTGATTGTCGTAGTCTTCAGCCAATCAAATCTTTAGTTTGACATGTTGGCCGTATTATTTGACGTGCCAGTGCTACCCAGGTAGCCTCCTAAGTACGTCTGCATTAACGTGCGCCGTGATTGGTCAGTGGGCCAGCATGACTTTGTGATTCTGTTTAGGCCAGCAGAGAAGGCCTTGCAGGCCCTGACGGTCCACCACTGATACACGTGTATTGTTACACCCCTAGAAACAAATAACCGTAGCTCAGTAGGACAGCACAGAAGGCCCAGGTATAAAATGAAGCAGTTGAAGTGTCAGTTAACGAGTGAGTGATGAAAGCAGTTGAAGTGTCAGTTAACGAGTGAGTGATGAAAGCAGTTGAAGTGTCAATTAACGAGTGAGTGATGAAAGCAGTTGAAGTGTCAGTTAACAAGTGAGTGATGAAAGCAGTTGAAGTGTCAATTAACGAGTGAGTGATGAAAGGAGTTGAAGTGTCAGTTAAAGTTGGAGTTGAAGTGTCAGATGAAAGCAGTTGAAGTGTCAGTTGACGAGTGAGTGATGAAAGCAGTTGAAGTGTCAGTTGACAAGTGAGTGATGAAAGCAGTTGAAGTGTCATTTGACGAATGAGTGATGAAAGCAGTTGAAGTGTCATTTGACAAGTGAGTGATGAAAGCAGTTGAAGTTTTAATTCAAAGTGTAAATTAAAACTTCAGACACTTTGAAGACCGAAATTTTTAATAAAATGAACTGTTTAAAGTAAAAATAGTTTGTATTTAAAAAGGTTATCATGTTCACTTCCTGTCACTAGAACTCCCATGATGTAACATGTAACCCCCCCTTCCCTTCACCTCCAGGTGTGGATCCCGTGTCCTCAGTGTCGACAGAACACTCCTCGGCCCAGAGGAGGAGCAGCTGGTCTAGACCTGGACTTGGCCTCCTTCCTGGGAGTGAAGGCCCAGCAGACCTGCACCTCCTCCTGCTCCCTGTCCTCCTGGAGCTCCGGCCGTAGGGAGGGGACGGCGGCTGGGGACACGGCCCGGGACGGGAAGCTGTGGCTGGGGAAGGAGGTCGCAGACGACGGCTGGTCACATGGAGGTCTGGCTGAGCCGCGATTCCAACGTTACGGAAACTGCTGCCCGCCACCGTCCTATTGGCTTTGCTGCTTGTTCTGCTGCCAGGGGCGGGGCTAAGACTGACCAATGAGTGTGCTCACTTTAATTGTCCCCTGAAGTTGGTTCTTCCGAGTGGTGTTATGAAAACTATTTATTTAAATAAACATGTAACGTGTTACTGAGGTTCATAATTAATTTAGAAACAAAAAGACAACGGAAAAACAAAGAGAGGAACTTCTATAAAATATGTATATCATTGTACAATAAAAGTGTGTACATAAGTACTTATACTAATATATAATATACATTATATTCTAAGTGGAATAAAGACAAAGCTGCTGAGAAGAAATATTTATTCATAATTACATATGTTACAAAAAGTATAGAAGCTTAACTAATGATAACAGTTAGCATTCAGTATGGGTCATCAGAATTAATTCATTATTTAATTGTTTATTTTCATCCAATCACAGGCATCCTCTTGGTGAGCTAGCTGATGCTAATAGCTGTGAAGGCTCCGATTGGTTAAAAATAAAAAAATAAAGCTTCAGACATTAAAACTGTGTCAGTGGACGGAGGAACTTCTTATTTCACTTTAACAAATGTTTGACGTCATTATTATTTTGTTAAATGTGATGTGAATGTTTAAGTTTTCATATTTCTTAGATTTTTGGTGACTTTAAAGAAATATTTGTTTGTTGGTTCAGTTGCTGGAAGAGCGACACAGAGAGACAACAGAAAGAAAAAAAAAAAAAAAAAAGACAGAGCTTTGGCATTCAACCCCCCGATGAGGCGCAAGGCATGCTGGGAGTCGGAGTCCTCTTTATGTCATTTACAGGTTTTTTTGTTACCAAGAAAAAATTCCCACAATGCCATAAACTCTTGATGTCCGTCTGTCATCAGACGACAAGCACTTCCTTATCATCAGGCTCCTCCCCCTCCTGAGTACGCAGCTCGGCCAATCAGAGGCTGCCGAGCCCCTCCCCCACTCTGATTCGCTGTCCCGGCTGCAGGTTGAACCTAAAGTCTTTCGGAGCCTCAAACAGCAGAACGATGGTGGAGCCGAGGTTGAACTCCCCCACGGCTGCGCCCTTCTGTAAGACCACGCCCTCCTGTAAGACCACGCCCTCTTCCTCCATAGAGACCACGCCACCTTCACCCGCCACCTTCAACACACTGTCGTCCACGTAGCTTCGGTCGTGGAAGGAGCCTTTACTGTAGCGAGGAGCGTTGGTCTGAAGCTCCTGAGGACGAATAAATTAATCTAATTAACAGACTGATTACAACATAAATACACATCCAACTACAATAAAATGAATACATCCATTCATGTGTTCATTATACAATATTTACTTAAGTTAAAATATGAATACTGTTAATATTTCCAGAAATATGAATATACATATATATGACAATAAATATATAAATACTAGTATGAACAAAGTTAGTTTAGATAAAAAAACTTTAAAGAATCTGATTAACTTCCTAAACTGAACTTTAAATATACAATAAAAAAATACAAAAACAAAAGTAATAGAAAAGATTCAAAGTATAAATAGTAAAAACTAAAGTGTTGCTCACCTGGTCGAAGTAAACTCTGATGGAGCCGACGTTTGTGGCTCCGACCGCCGTTAACGAGAAGAAGCCGTGCTGCCATTGGCCGGTGAGAGCAACTCGCTCGTTAAGGCAAAAGAGCTCTTTAACCAAACGAGCCACACCGGGGTTAACGGAGAGTAACGAGCCTAACGAGGGGGGAGAGAGAGAAGGGTGAGACAGACAGGTGAGACAGACAGGCAGAGAGACAGAGAGGCAGAGAGACAGAGAAGCAGACAGACAGAGAGGCAGAGAGACAGACAGACAGAGAGACAGACAGACAGACAGACAGACAGAGAGGCAGACAGACAGAGAGGCAGAGAGACAGACAGAGAGGCAGAGAGACAGACAGAGAGGCAGACAGGTGAGAGAGACAGAGAGGCAGACAG